TTTAGATTAAAATTTCAGCTGTTTGGAAAAGATGATTGGATTAAAGTTTTTGTCCCAATCAGCAAACGGGGAGAAAAATACCAAGAAAAAAAAAATCTATTTACAGCAAAATCTGATCCTTAAAAATAATTGACTCAGAAAATTTGATTTTGAAATAAACTACAAAACTTTATAAAGTTCCATTTTCTTTCTTTTCTTAATTCTGCTCTAATATTTATTTTCTGTCGCATAAAATCCCAACTAAATATTTAGCTGTTTTTTTTTTTAACATCTTATGAAGTTTAAACATTTCTTCCTCCTGGTTTCCCTTGAATAATTTTTCCACACGTTAACGCTCCGTCTCCTCCTTCCTCAGACCCGTCGGCCGCCCTCTGCCACCCCTCCATGAACCCCCCCAGAGGCTCCATCAGGAAGCCCCAGTGTGAGATCAACCCCTTCCTGCCGCAGCCGTCCAGCCTGAAGTGGGTCGCCTCCCTGACAGAATCGGCCCTCAGCCCCATTTATCTGCAGGCCGATTGGTTCTCAGCTTCCTTCCAGGGCCTCGATGAGGCGATCGGCGTTTCCACCATCTCACGGGCTCCGACCGGAACCAAAGAACACGACGGTACCGGGTCACCTCATCAGAAAGAGGGAACTAAAGGTTCTACACTCTGTTCTGTCTGATTGATTCTGGGTTCCTGTCTCCTCAGTGATCCTGAGTATCACCAGTAAAACCATGTCTGCCAAGTCCAGACTGGGAGAACCGGTCACTCTGGACTGCAACTTCTGGGTGGACCAGTCCACTCCGCTGTCCTCGTCGGGTTTTGCGGTGGAGTGGCGGTACCAGACCAGAGGCGACGGCCGGCTGGTTCTGGCTTACGACGGGAAGACGGACCGTCTGGCCGACACTCATGAGGTCGGAGCGACTCTGGACTTCGAGGCTCTGCATGAGAGAGGAAACGCCTCCCTGTTTCTGGAGGAGGCGAAGGTCCGGCACACTGGGACGTACATCTGCACCGTCTACCTGCCCTACCTGCTGGCCCAGATCGCCATGGAGCTGGAGATTATCGGTACTGAAAAACATTCAGCTTAATTGGAAACAATCTAAAACTCTTTGATTAATGACCTGATTTCTCTCGTCTCCATCAGAACCTCCATCTCTCTCCATCCACCCGTCTGCTCTGCCCCTCGCTGTCCCAGGTCAGACCATAAACGTCCAGTGTGAAGGTTCAGGCTTCTCCCCGCTTCCTCTGGAGCTGAGCTGGGAGTTTAAAGGTTCTGACGGTCGGTCCATATCTCTGGGGTCCGGCAGCATGTCGGGTCACAGACAGGCCTGGGACGGCACCTTCAGCCAGAGCAGCCGGCTGGTGCTGGACACGTCCAAACTGGACCTGGGCCGAGGAGGAGAGCTCAGCTGTGTCGCCGTTCATGAAGGAGGAACGCGGCGGGCCAGCGTGACCCTCAACGTTATCGGTAACTATGGAAATCCTTACTGAGTGACTGGATCGGATTAAGACGTTTTTCTTCTCTTTATTAACAGAGATTAGAACTTTCACTTTAGAGTCATGGTTAAAAGATATTAGAACTTTTTAATCTCCTTTTATGTGTTAATAATAGATATTTCTGTTCTTTAAAATGTTTTTACACTGCAAAAATTTTAATCTAAATAAGTCATTTTTTCTTCAAATAAGTTCATTTTGTCTTTAATTGAGGAGGTACGTTAAACAACAACAATTTATATTTAAAATAAGAAAAAAATGATTAAATTGTCTTATTTCAAGTGCATATTATCGATTTATCTAATTTAAGAGTAAATGCTCTAATTCCATTCGCAAATCATCTTATTTACCTGCTCAAATTAAGCGTAAATATAATTAATTTAAGAAATGTTTTAATTATTTCTAGATCTTTTTGTAGCAATGAAGATAAAAGTTCAGAACAAAACTTCCAATAAATAATTAATATCTCAGTTAATTCTTCCAAAGCTGCAAAACTTAGACAGTAAAATTCATGACAGTAGAATCAGAGAAAGACTGAACAAATATGGAGGGTTTGGAAGGAGATAAATAAGATGGCGACAGAATCTCTATTTCTAAAGCTGCATCTGAAGGAACCAAAAGATTTTTACTACTAGATCCTCTGAATGGATAAACATTAATTTAGAGGAACCCAGTATGTCTGTGCCAACAGCTCTGACCAGCTATGAAGCACAGAGGTGGCTGCTGTGCAGCCGCAGGATCTGAGCTCATTATTGTCATGGTTTTGATCATGAACGCCTTTTTGGTATCAAAGGTCATCAGTCAAACAGATGAAGAATCGGGTTGAACTGGTTCATCAGGTTTGACAACGGTACAAAATATACAAAACAAACAACAACAAAAAAAGACTAGAGATAAAAGGAACTACAGTTCTGCAGTGGCCTAGTCAAAGTCCAGACCTCAGCTCCATTGGAATGCTGTGATGGGACCTTAGTGATGATATGCAGAAATACTGCTGCAAAAAATGTATGAATTAAAACATGTTTTAAGGAAAACTCCTCTTGTCTCACCTCCATAGATGTAACAAACAGAACGGTTAATGTTAGTAAAAGTTTTCTGTGACCTAAACACCGCTAAGTTCTGGCTTCATAATGAAAGTCTGGGATCTGTTGTGTTGTTTTCTAAAGTTTGTTTGAAGCTCTTTTATAAAAAACAACTAACACACAGAAAAATAAATATTTCTTGTTCTATATCAGAACTTCAGCTATTTAAAAATCAATTGAATTTAAATGGATTTTATTTTCTTTCTCTCAGGGTTCAGCAGTCCCTCCATCGAGGACTCCATGGCGATGGTCGGCGTGGCGCTGGTTCTCTACGGGTTCATCAAGTTTGTGTCATGGACCTTTACTGGATCAGGTAAAGGTTTATCAGGGTTCAGATATTCAGACACATACATTTTTTATTTTATTTTTTTACAATTTAAGCCTTATTTAAACTTTTAGACTCTTTTGTGATTTTTGTTTATTTTTCTGCTTTCAGGCTCAAATAAAGCTGATGAAGGAGATAAGGTGCGAAAAATTCCATTTTATAAAATACATATTTTTTCACATGTCGGTTAATGTCTGTTGTTTTAATGTGATCCTGTTTTTTTCCCTGATTACAGAAAGAAAAGTAAAGATGAAGAAGTCGACGGATGTTAATGACTTTTCTTACCTTCAGTGGGATTTTAGGAGCAGCTCTTCACCCAGATCATCCTTTCACTGTTTTACTGCCTGGTCAGAAATCTCTGCAGAATTCACTGTTTTTATGTTTTCAGAAAAAAAAATAATTTTATTAGGAAAGCTTCTCATGTTGGATATGTATATATTTGTGTCAATATTGTCTCTTTTTCTTTGCGGGTTTATTGCAAACACTGGGAAAGGGAAGCAATCATTAAAGTAATTTAGAATAATGGAAGCTTTGTCGGGTGAAAAAGTTCGTCTTGTTGAATGTCTTTGTTTTTGCTTTTTGTTGGAAATAGTGATGTTCTTAAAAACTGAGTGAAAAATTTTGTTCTTTTTATGGAAACATGAAGAAATGTTTTAGAGAGTGAATCGTTTTAATGCAGGGAAAGTTTTTCATTTCTGTATTTTCTCTAAAATAAACATGTTTCTTAAAACATCACCTGTTTATTTTTTTCTTGTCCTTGGTCAGTTGAACCTTTAAAGATTAGATGAATCATATATGATGAAGTTTCCTCAAATAATCTTTTACTTTTAAGACAAATGGACATTCTTATTTGCAGACCATAACTGTAAAGATAGAATTACCAATTTGTCATTTTGTGAATAATTATTTAACACAAGAATATTAAAATTTGCAATGAAAGAATAAATAAACAGGAAGAAATTATGCTGCAGCTTAAGATTTTTTACAATTATATGGAGATTAAATGTTTTACCATAGTGAGAACTTAATGCTGCAAGATAAAAAGACATCAGTAATGACTTTAATTAAGGCACTGTTGCTACCCATCAGTCCAGGAAGTGGTACATGTTAATTTCTAAACTTTTTAACATCCATCATTCTACAGATAGAGAGATTATTCCCAGCTGGAAAACATTGATGACTGGAGCTGATCCTCCCAGGAGTGCAAGTTAAAGTAAATTTGTCCAAGATATTCAACTTTATTGTTATTGCACTGTCATTACAAAGCAACAAAATTCATTCTCTGCATTTAACCCATCCCCTAGGAAAGCAGTGGGCTGCCATTTTTGGGCAGTGTGGGGTTAAGGGTCTTGCTCAAGAACCCAGGTGGCAGTCTGTGGGAGTGTGGCTTGAACTCAGAGCCCCTGGAACCCAAGCAAAATGCCCTAACCACTAGATCACCACTCACCCACAAATGACTGTAAAAATAGTCTAAAAGGCTCAAAAAACTATGTACGACTAAATCCAAATCATTCAACTTCAACTCTATGGGTCTATTGCAGTGTTAGATGAATGAACAATTATAGCTCGTTTGATTTAACTTGTTTTTTTCTCTGCTGAGCCTGCTGTGACATATTGTGTATTAAATCTAATGTCAAATCCGAGTAATTTGTGAAGGATAGCTAGTTTTCCATATATAGAAATATTTGAATTAATTTGTCTGTATGATCTGGTTAAATTGTCTCTATAAAGCGCCTTAAGATTATATGTTTTATGAATTGGTGCTATATAAATAAACTGAATTAAATTCATTTGTATCAATTTCTCAGATTATTAATATACAAATATTTTTTTCCTAGGAAAAATGTGCTAAAGTTGTTGCGTTTTAGTCACCTCTGTTGAAAAAACAGGTTTTTGTTGTTGTTTTTTTCAAAGTTCAACTTTATTTTACCGATATCACAAACAGCTTCCTTCTTATAACTTTGTCCACTAGGTGTCAGTAAATTATTCTTGAGTCGAAATGAGACCCACAAATAGAACTCAAAGAAAACGCGCTTTCGTTCTATCGTCCAATAGCGAGCCGTTTCACTCACCATCAACTGTTGCTCCACCAATCAGATTCTTTGATGCTTATCGTAGTTTAGCGGGTCTTCCTTTGACAACATAGCTAAGTTTTCAAGCCCTGTGCGTTGAAATAGTAGTTCTGACGAGGTTTTAATACAATATTTGATCATTTTCATTAGTTTATCATACGATACACAAACATTAACACATTTTTATATGTTGTAGCCTTATCTTTGTAAGTAAATGTTAAAATGCTAGCTAGCTGCTAATGCTAACATGAGCTAACTATAGGGATTGCCATGCCCTGCTGTGAATCGCTTTCTGTTTTTGTTTTCAGCTCAAACAGCTCCTAAATAAGTGGTGAGTACATTCTAATATATCCTAAACTGGGTTTAAAAAGTGGTAAATATTGCTTTGGATCTTCAACCAATTTCACTTCTCACTTAAGTTTTTTATTGTCTCGTTGTCTCTTAACCTTTAGAAACCGTCTGTTTAATTAAATTTCCCCTGGATTTATTACTTTAGTTCTACTGAAAATGTTTATTATTGTTAGGCAACAGAATCCGCTTTTCTTCAGGTTGACTTAAAATGTTGTAAAGCCTCCAATTTGGAGTCAACCTTTTATTTTATCCTGTAGTCATGTGTTAGATGGAGTTGGCAGTTTAAATGTCTGTTTAGACTAATTGTATGGGCCTATCAGGTGCACTATTATTCGTGCAAATACTCCATGTTCACCACCTCTGAAAATATTTAAGTTGGTCTTCATAAATTAATGCATATCAGTTGCTTGTAAGTTCAAATGTATTTATATTTAGTTGTTGTGTTTCTATATGTTAAACTTTTTTATTTATTACACATTTTATTTGCTCTCATTAAGCTGCAGGTTGTTTGATAGAGTTGGTCATCTGAACCAAATAGGAAATGAGGAATAGCTCTTTTTTTTTTCCAATTTATTAGATATGTCTGCAAAATTTTCACAAGACCAAAGTAATTTAATTCTAAACAATATTTATTGATAAAAAAATAATAATAATAAAAAATTAAGACATTTTTTGAAGGCTTTAATTTAAATTATATTAACATTTATGTTGTTTTTTTTGTGGCAATAAGAATAATTGTCTTGATGCCTAAAAGAGCCCAACAGATTTTACCTTCACAAGTGTAGCAGTATGGATATTGCCATATTGCTCCACTTGTTTCATGCATATAAATTGCTTTATTATAATTATGCAGGGAGTTTATACAGTTTATATGGACACTGCAATGTAAATAGAGCAGAAAAACAGAAGAAGAAGAAGGAAAAAAAGAGAAAAGATGAAAGAAAGAGGAGATAGAAAGGAGACAATGACAAAACATTTTCAGTCATTTATGTTTTAAAAGCTTAAATTCTGAGTAGATTATGTGTCTCACAGGAAACACTGAAATATGTCAAATGTTGCCATCAAGAATCCACAAATTTTTAATGTTAAAAAGCTCCCAGACTTGGTCATAAAATCTAATACAGTAGATCTTTTATAAATGTTTGACTTTCTTAAAAGTCAGATCAAATTTAATCAAACTTTTATTTTAGTTGAATGTTTATACATACTTTTTATCAGGGATAAACAGCAGATAATCTTCTACCTTTAAACACCAAAAAACATACAGACTAATTTTTTTTTTCCTCCTGCTAGAGTCGATTACCCAAGTTAGTTCTTACAGGTTTTGGTTATTTATAGCCTGTAGTCAGAAGTCTTGATGGGGTGCCAGTATCTTATTGCACAACGAATTTTGTGTATCTCATTGCTGCCCTCTTTTATCAAATAAAAAGCTTAAATGTTGTTCTATCCACCCCTAGATCTCTAAATGTTTTTTAAGCCACTTATTGATGATTTCTAAACTACACTATATTTTCTGCCTTCTTTCCTTTTCCAAAAGTAGAACCGTTCAGAACTCAGATGGCGGTGGCTCCCGCCTCTTTGGCCGATCAGATCATAGTCCTTGATGATGACGATAATGTCGAAGAAGCGAGACCTCAGCCTTCATCTTCTGCTGCTACCCCCTCATCCTCTAAGCATCAGGCTAAAGGACGTTCGTCACCTAAGAATCAGCACCGGGTGTCGACCCACATCACCCAATCACCTTTTTCCTCTGCCAAGAAGAACACAAACGCTCTGCAGATCGAAAACCAGAAGCTGTTCGACGAGGTGAGACAACATTAGAATACATCTGTTTTTGTCTTTTCTATGGCGTTTCAATTTTCAAAATAAAGGTTCTGGAAGGCCAGACCCTTAGAGCAGAATATCTCTGTGTCATAAACTTTTCTGCATGGTCATGTACATACACGTTGTTTCTACACATTCAAACACTCCTGGTGTTGATGTCAAAATAAGAACGACCTTTAGATTACTGATGTAAACTAAACCCTGGTTCCCATAGTTCACCTGCTGGATTTAATTTAACTGGTGATTCAGATGTGGATGTTAATTGTGATAAATAAACAATTGAATAAAGGCGGGATTCATATATTTGTGCTTTGGTATAATAAAAAATAAGATTACGGTCAATGCAGATTGTGAAAGCAGAGAACAAAGTCTTCTTTCAACCAGTTGAAGTTTCTGTGGGTAAATCAAACTTTTAAATAAATGCAAAATAAACGGGCATATAAACTTTTTTAATTCCTAAAAAGAAAATCTTTTTGAACAATTATGTAAATAATATATTCACTCAGTCTTCGTCAATATATTGTATTGGACTCTGGTTTGGCTCCGCTGTACAGCTTTACCACAAATTAGTAGTTTTTGCAAAAACTTCTCTCCTTTTAGCGCTGCTGCAACTTTGTTTCTGCATTTTTGTACAGCTCGGCTATGGCGACTTGGCGTATATATGTGCGTAAAGTCATTAAATATCTCCTATCCATCGTGTTTACCAAAGCCGTAGATCCAGGCATGGTCGCTATACTAACAGGTATCATGTCTTTAGCTATAAACTCCATTATTGCTCGAGTTAATTGATCGTGCAGTTTAAAATTATTTTCATAAAGAGTAACGCTTTCAAACAGTTCGGTCAATGATCCCTGTCAGCTAATACTTTGCTTACTTGATGTTGAGGCACTGGTAGTTCGTATTCTAGTCATGCAACTATGATACACGGTTTTGTTGTGTTTTTTTTAAGTGTTGATAAAGGTTTGTCATGTTACCTCGTGACGTAGCAACATTAGAAAGGTATCTCCTCCACAACATCAGATGACGTGCAGTGTCTTCTCTTTTTAAACCCCAAATAATTCCATCCAGGTGACGTAATGCTGCTCTTGGGTAGCAGACTTTCAGTTGTGTTAGTTTTTGTCCACCTTGAGGACATTGTTCAACAAGTTCTGCACAGGCGAGGATTGATTTTTCCTCCATGCTCCTCACCCCCATTATGTGACCCTTCAAATCACGGCCTTTGCGGTTAGAAAGTCTTGTTTTATGTCGCAATAATATCGCAAATGCAATTAATCATTCAGCCTTACTTATAACACAGAGAGCCTTGCTCTGATCAGTGAATAGAAAACAGAAAATGTAGCTGTTTCATTCAGAGTATTTCCCTTTAAAATACTTTGAATTTTGATAAACAAGCTTTAGAACAAAGTAAATTCTTCGTGCTTCTTCTTTCTGTCTTCAGTTTGTGCAGCACTGCACGCCCCTCACGAAGGACTGCCCGGAGGTTCTGACGTTCCTCCAAACCAAACATGGGAAGGCCTGTCCCGACTACCTGTGCTCCGTGGAGTTCAGGAACACGCTGGGACACTGTCTGACTCGAGCTCAGGCCAGCAAATCCAAAACCTTCGTCTACATTAAAGAACTGTGCACCGTGCTGCAGCAGCACGCGCTCAAGAAGAGGCAGGCCCTCACCAAGGTGGAGCCCGCCGCAGCAGAACAGGGTTCTCATCAGTCTACCTCTACAACGCTGAAAAGCAAAGACAAGGTAAAAGGTAAGGCGGGTGAGGAGGAAGAGGAAGTGAAACCAGAAGAGGAAGACCAGCCTTCCTCTTCAGGAGAAAAGGGAGAAGCTGGAGAGGAAAATCAAGAGACCGACAAGAAGGCCAGGAGGTCTTTAAAGAAACAGGTGAGTTCGTTTTATAAAGTGTCTTCTTAGGAAAACTGAACTAAAAAGATTCGAAGAAAATTCAGAAATAACCCAACTGACGATTCCTGTGCTCTGGATTTCAGATTGCTTATCTAGAGAACCTGTTGAAGCTCTACAACGATGAGATCTACCGACTGCAGCAGGCGGAGCTCAGTTTAGACGACCTGGAGACTGAAGACTCGACGTACATCCAGGAGCACAAACTGAAGCGGAAGGTCTGTAGAGTTATAGACACAGATGCTGATCCAAATTAAAGAAGAAATAACAGTACAGCAACTTCTTCTCCTCTCTAGATGATGAAGATCTATGAAAAGCTTTGTGAACTGAAAGGCTGCGACACGCTAACAGGCAGAGTGATCGAACAGAGGATCACTTACTCAGGGACCCGCTACCCGGAAATCAACAAGAAGGTGAGAAGATTTTATAATTATCTGGATTATAATCCAACATAAACAGTTTGAACAGTCTATATTAATCTCTGTCAACGTCCCTGTTTCTCTGCTGCACAGATTGAGCGTTTCATCAACAGTCCCGAGGCTCACAGGAATCCTCCAGATTACCACGACATCCTGCAGCAGGTGATCCGCGTCAACGAGCGCCACAACCTGTGTCTGAGCAGAAAGCAGCTGAACCAGATCGCAGCCGAAGCCTTCAGAGAGACCGGGAGCCGCCTGCAGGAGCGGCGCCACCTAGACCTGGTCTACAACTTCGGCTCGCGCCTCACAGACACGTACAAACCCGGTGAGACTTCAGGGCCGCAGTTGGTCTTTATGTTGCAAAGGAATTAAGAAAGAAAATGATGTTTTCTTGGTTTTTCTTTTTAATCACTTTTCTATAATTAGATTTTTTTTTACTATTTGAGGTGACGTAACGAGTACATTTCTCCATTGTGAGATCAATAAAGTAAGTCATCAATCAATAAATCTTAATTTCTTTTTCTGAAATTATTATTTTATTTTATTTTTTCCTGGTTAAATAACGGTTAAATAAAAAAAAAAAAATGATTTAAGAAATTATGAAAAAAAATGATTGATGATTGACTTTATTGGACTTTACTCGTTACATCGCCTCAAATAGTCAAAAAAAAAGGTGTCAAAACGTGAAAAAGGTATATATACGTATGAGACAGCTGATTTCCCTTATTTAGCAGGATTATACAGGGTTATTGCACATTGTATTAACATTGGTATTTATATTGATCGGTATTTTTATATATATATACTGTATATATATACATACATGCATATCAAATATAAAAACAGGTTATTGCACAGGGTATCAAATGGTAAACTGCACATTATAAATTGCACAAGTTATTGCTGTTTTAGTGTGGCATTGTGGAGTCTGGAGGCAGCAGGGATGAAACCTGTTTTAGTGTTAATTTTTACAAACGGGGTGTAAAAGTCTTTGACTAAAGGAGCAGCTCAGCTCCTCTACAGTCAGGTGCAGAGGGTGGAAGGTGTTGCCAATGATGGATGGAAGCTTGGACAGCACCCCCCTCTCAGCCACTTCTTCCTCAGAGTCCAGAGCGCAGCCCAGAACAAAAACAGCCTTTCTCATTAATTTGTTCAGTCTCTTTCTGTCCCGCTCTGCGCTGCCAAGGGCCCAGCAGACAAAAGCATAGAGGAAGGCTGATGCCACCACTGAGTCATGGAAAGGTTTTAAGCAGAGACCTGAGTGTCAGATCTTGATTGACTTGAAGGAAAATCAGAAAAAAAAAAATATATAAAGTTGTTCGTTAGAGGGTCTGCTTTGTCACTGACAGCCTCCAAAGGAAGAGTGAGAAACAAAACAGCTTCCTATTTAGACGCCTTCATCACAGAATGTAAACTGAAGGTTTGGAGGAAGGAAAAGGTGCAGAATAAAAAATCCTCGAGGAGCAAGAATAACTGCAGCCTTTAAAGGATTTTGAATAGTTTATGGAGGATCGCTAAGGCGGCATCTGTATATGTAAGCAGGTTATCAGAACTGCTTACAGTTGAAAGCATGGTACCTGGTCTCAGGAGAATCTGAACTGGGCTGGGACTCAGTGGTCCAGAGTCCTTGTTTAGACAATTGTAGCTGGAAATATGATCATCTAAAGGCGGACTGGAGGGACAGGATTCTGCTTCTAGGAAAGGTTTTCACACAGTGATGCTTGAGCAGACATGTCATCTGCTGGAGTTGCTCCATTGTTTACTTTAAAAGTAAAAATTTCTGCTTTAACTAAGTTGTTCAACCCAGATGATAAAGCTCTATGTAGAGGTACAGAAACAGAGTGGCAGCAATAATGTCCGTACTGACTTATCTATCATTAGGAAGTTGATACTCAGCCTAATCTCCATGATACATTTATACTGATTCACACTAAATGAAACATATTTTCCTGCAGTATTAAAGAAGATTCAGTTAACTCCTAAACATTTGCTGTTCTCTTGATATTATTTTCTTATTCTCTGTTCCTGCATATAGAGGCCTGTTAGTGATTCTATATGTTCCTGTTTTAACAGTGTCTCCTTTCTACCTGTTCTTCTCTCATCCTCACCGTCTGTAGCGACCGACCCGGCTCTGTCGGACCCCTCTCTGATGAGGAAGCTGCGCTCCAACAGAGAAGTGGCTTTATCCCGTCTGGATGAGGTCATCACCAAATACGCCGTCAAACAGGACGACACCGAGGAGCAGGAGAGGCAGCGGAGGATGGAGAAAGACAAGGAGGTGAA